TCCAAAATGGATCTATTGGTTCTTTTGGCAGTCCATGGCACTTTCAATCTTCTCCTCCAACACCATAACTCAAAGGAATCAATTCTTCTACGATCTTCCTTATTCACTGTCCAGCTTTTGCATGTATGTGAGGTTATTGAAAATACAATGACTTGGGTCAGGTGCACCTTAGTCCTTAAGTTGACATCTTTGCTCTTCAACACTTGAAAAAGGTCTTGTGCAGCAGATTTGCTTAATGCAATACGTTGTTTGATCTCTTGACTGCTGCTTCCATGAGTGTTTATCCAAGAAGAATAAAATCCTTGACAACTTCAATCTTTCCTTCATTGATAAGAATGTTGTTTATTGGTCCAGTGGGGAGGATTTTTGTTTTCTTGACATTAAGATGTAATCCATATCGAAGACTGTGCTCTTTGATCTTTATAAGTAAATGTTTTAAGTCCTCTTCACTTTCAGCAAGCACGGTTGTATCATCTGCATATCGCAGATTGCTAATGAGTCTTCCTCCAATCCTGATGCCATGTGTTTCTTCATAGAACCCAGGTTCTCATATTATTTGCTCAGTATACATGTTGAGTAAGTATGGTGAAAGAAAACAACCTTGTCGCACATCTTTCTTAATTTTAAAACATTCAGTGGTCCCGTGTTCTGTTCGAATAACTACTCTTGATCCAGGTACAGATTCCTCATGAGCACAATTAAGTGTTCCGGTATACTCGTACTTCGCAATGTTGTCCATAGCTTGTCATGATCCACACAATCGAAAGCCTTTGCATAGTCAATAAAGCACAAGTAAACATCTTCCTGATATTCTCTGCTTTCAGCCAAGATCCATCGGACATCAGCAATGATATCCCTCGTTCCACGGCCTCTTCTGAATCCAGCTTGAATATCTGGAAGTTCTCTGTCAATGTATGATTACCTTTAGTAAAACTTTCTGTATTACCTTTAGCAAAACTTTACTCACATGAGACATCAAAGAGATTGTCAGATGATTTCCGCATTCCGCATTAGTACTACAAATGTAGTACTAATAAATACATATGATGAAATACTACTCTGTCATAAAGAGAAACAAAGTCCTGTTATATGCTACAACATGACTAAATCTAGAAAACTTGCTAAGTGAAATAAGTTATTCAGAAAAGAACAAATGTGACATGATCTCAATTATATGAAATGCCGAAAATAAGCAAATATATAGAGATCAAGGGAAAATAGGGAGAAAGGGTGATACCACTATCGTTGTAGCAGTGAGCCTTTGTTTATGGTGATGGAAAATTAGGCAATAGATTTGTAATTGTACAACATAATTGATGTATTCGGTCTCAGTGAGTTTTATACTTGAAAATGTTAAACTGAGAAATGTTGTTTAAACTACATTTTCTACAGTAATTTTTAAAACATAATCAACAAAATCTTTGCTGGAAGAAAAGATGAAAGGCTTCTGAACTACAAGTATAGTCAACTCAAACCAGTAAGGTAAAGCTCAATAACACATTAAAAAATATCTATTTTAACTGTGCATGGACATGTCATAGAAGGAAAATAATATATAGCAGCACCTTGATAAATGACTCCTTGGGATATGAAGCACCTTTAAAATGAAGTCATTTGTATTAAAAATAAAACAAAATAGAACATTGGACAAACAGGTTAAGCAAACATAAGATCTTTTCCCTTTAAGCAGCATTCAAGTTGTTGTCCCAAATACAAAATCATCTCTTTACACACTTTCTCTGTACCTATTCATAAGTAAACCTATGATCTTATTAAAGATAATTAGGCTAGAAATTTGCAAAGTTCTAAGTACACTAACTTTTCTATTTTAAGCATCTAGCCTCCCATTTCTACCAGGGTAGAGTGACAGCTCCATGTATTTAGGAACACAGTACCTTCCTACTGCTTGCCTCCTCTCCTTTTATATATTGGTGCATAGGTTTCATATACTATTTTTCAATCAATTATCTCAGTTAAAATTTTGTTTTATCAGTTAATTTCATAATTTTAAGCAGAGGAATTTCAGATATAGTTAAATAGAAAATAAACAAAGAAGATATGATCCAGAAAGTCACATTATATAAAATACTGACAAAGACAGCAAACCATATTTAATATATTTTAGGACAGTTGAGGGTATATGTACACAAAGGATAACATAGATGACTTCCCAAAACCGATCTTTACTTTTCTGGGAAAGACTAAAGGTTACTAATTTGGAGGTAGCTGCAAGAAACTTTTTCCTTAGGTATTGTCATCGATCGTTTGTTTTAGGTTCCAGACCCATTTATTCTAACACATAATAAAGGTACTTTCTTCCCTTTAAGGCATGCTAAAACTAATATAAACTGTATCTCTCCCCAAAGACTTTCTTTAATTTTCCAGATGTGTATTGCATCTTTCCAGTTTATGCAATTGTGTGTAGTATTTTATGGTATCCTCCCATTTTTTCTCAATTAATTCAAATTGCTGACTTTGCAGTTAGCAGTCCAACTTGCAACCCACTACATTCCCAGGGCTTTTAAAGCCACTTGTTATTGTTGTTGTTAAGTGTCCGTTGAGTCGGTTCCAACTCATAGCCACCCTGTATAGGGTTTCCAAGGTACACTGGTGGTTTTGAACCGCTGACTTTGTGGTTCAAACCAACCTTGAGGTCCAGTGCTTTTTGGAGGTCATTAAAATGACGCATCCTAATTAAAGTCACTGGATTCAAAGCGATTTTTCAGAAGAAAGTAACTATATTGTACTATTATAGATTATTGTTAAGGGTTTATAACATAGGTGCTAATAATACTTGATGTTGTTATTAATGCTGTAGAGTCGGTTCCGACTCATAGCGACCATGTATAGTAGTATTTCAGAGGTGCGGCTGGTGGATTTGAACCCTCACCTTGTGTTTCAAATCCACCTTGCAGGCCAGTGCTCATCCTATGGCGCTACACAGTATATTTAAAAAGTGCACAAGAAATAAGGGAGATTGGGGGTGGTGGTGGATTTCGTTTATGAAACTTTTCACAAAAGATATACAGGAAATACTGCTCTAAGGGACATGGAAACTAGTCTGAGAATGGTTGAAAAAAACTAGAAACAAACGGTAAGAAATAGTATAGAGCTCAGTGGATTGCAGTGTTCACATATAAAACTTAAATATTTTGTGGATAAATGTAGAAAATGTCTATTGGCACAATTCTATAATAAAATAATAATAATAATAATCCTGTTGTTGTTAACTGCTATTGAGTCAGTTCTGTCTCATAGCAACCCTGTATGTGGTTTCCAAAAGGCGGTTGAAGAGCTTGAGCCACCAACCTTTGAGTTCTAACCAACCTTGCAGTCCAGCGCATTAACCCGCAGCGCCGATATTTTTCATAAGAAAACAACAAAACAAAATCCATAGCTGAGTCGTTTCCGACTCATAAGACCCTATAGGAAAGAGTAGAACTGCCCCACAGGGTTTCCAAGACTTCATCTTTATGGAAGACTACCATATCCTTGGAACCCTGTACAGGGTCACTATGGGTCGGAATCGACTTGACGACACTTAACAACAACACCATATCTCTATCACATGGAGCAGCTGGTGAATTTGAACCGCCAACCTTTCCTGTAGCAGTGGAACTCTGCCCACCAGGGCTTCTTTATTTTTCATTTGTTGTTGTTTCGATCCATAGAGACCCTGTATAGGGTTTCCAAGGAGCGGCTGGTGAGCCTGAACCAGCGACCTTAAGGATCAAACTGGCTTTGCAGTCCAGCGCATTAGCCCATATCACCACACCAAGACGACTTATTTTTCATGTTGTTGTTGTTAGGTACCATGGAGTCAGTACTGACTCGTGAAGGGGAAAATCTATAGTCCGCTTGTTGTTAGGTGCCGTCCAAGTCGGCTCCGACTCACAGCGACCCTGTAGAGGGTTTCTGAGGTTCAAACAGACCTTGGGGTCCAGTGGTTTATTCCACAGCGCCATAACGTGCAAAGGCAGCAGTGAAGTGCAAGTAAGGAACGACTACACAGCTCCGCCTTCTGGGCAGTATGGTTGGTTATGTGCCGTGTAGTCGGTTCCGACTCATAGTGACCCTGTACAGGGTTTCAGAGGCTGCAAATCTTTACAGGAGCAGAAAGCCTCTTCTTACTCCCGCGGAACAGCTGGTAGTTTCCAATTGCTGACCTTGCGGTTCGCAGCCAGATTCTTAACCACTACCAGAGCTCCTTTCTGGGTAGTATATCCAAGCCGAAGTGCCAATTCAACTCAAATGATCTCACAGGAAGATCTGGCTATAACTTCTCAACCCTCAATCGTAATCTAGTCTGATGATTTGCTGGCACAACTATTACTACTTCATTGTTATCAAAAGGATATACTAGTTAGGGGAAGGTATTATCTAGGGTTTCCCATGACTTAATTTAAAAGATTGAAAAGGCAGGCCTGATTATTCGCCACTCTCTGGGCCTCAATAAGAGACGTGCAGAGAGGCGACTTCTGTCCAATCTAGAATGCAGCTTCTCAGTCTAGGGCATTCACTGTGGCCCGCTGGGCAAGGAAGCTGACTTCCAAAGTCCCAGGTCCAGCATGATAGGGAAAAGGGGGTGGGAGCACAAAGAACTAGAAAATCCCGGAAAACAACCTCCATCAACGAGTTCCAGCTTCCAGACACCTGCGTCTCAGTTCGCTTCACGCGCCAACCGTTTGTATTTGGATCGGTGCGTTGATGCCCGCCACTCTCCGCGGCAAGCCCTTCAAAGTGCCTGCTCCTCTGAGCTCCAGGATTCCTCCCTGCAGATTCCACAAATGGTACGTTAGGCTCTGAGGACTGACTCTCCTAAAAGCCTTCTTAGTATAATCAATCCAACCCCAAATTTTAAATCAGAAGCTTGTATAGTTTAGATGTTAGAGCGCCACGAGCTGTGAAGTAAGGGGGGGGGAAAAAAATCTACAGGCGAATCGTAAATCGGGATAAAAATGCTGCTTCTTTAAAATGCAGAATCTGTAGCGTCACTTCCGGCAACAATAGGAAACGTCAAAACTCCGGCAGTCCGCGCTTCTGGCTGCTGCAGCTTAAAGTACACTGAATTCACAAGAGTCTAGCTAGCACTGGTTCTGGTATTCTTGACACCGTCGCCTCCACCGACGTGAGCAAGTAAACTTGGAACCGGCTTCTTCATTTCCTGAGCACCAGTTCCCGGCTGAAGCATTTTCCTTTTGGCTTATAGCCCCCGCCCAAAGGCCGATTCGTCGCGGCGGCGGTGGGAATCGCAGGTCGCTCAGGTACAAACGTCAGTCTATGTGTTTCATATCTCTTGTCTTCCTCCCCCCATAACCCCCCGCTTTTTTTCTCGGAAATAAAGACAACCAGTGCTTGCTAGTTGGCAGAAACTTGCCAACCAGCAAGAGTTTGGAACCAACGACAATGCATAGCATCTTGAGTGACAGCAGTGATGGCTTATTAAAATTCGGGATCAGAGTCAATATGAGGGAGGGACGTGTTCCATGTTTCTAGGCCATAGGGGTGTAAGGTCAGCATGGCTCCCCAGGCATGGACCCTGCATTCTAGTGAAATATAGCCAACGGATGACGAAGGTTACTTTATTCTGGCCCAACTGTTGCTTTTCTGAAAGTTAAGAGTTTGTTTCGGTGCCTGTGCAAAATTTTTGGTTCTTCCCTTTCCATTATATATATGAATGGAAATACAAAAAGTTTGGGTTACCATGGATTGCAATTCCTTCAGCCTTCAAACTTTGATTATAAAACGTACTAATTTTTAGTATTTGTTTCTCTGTGACTGGAATCTAATCCCTTTTACATAATAAGAACTCATTCATTGTGTGAAATAACATAAACCACATAAATTAATCCTCGTAAAATTCATACAAGATTAGGTTTATTTTTAGGTTTCGAATTTAGCAATTGAATCTACTTATTTTAGAAGTAAATTTTTTTTATTTTCAAGGATCATAGGTGTTTCTTCACAAATCAGTATATCATGACTTTTATTACTGTGAAGTAAAGCAAATTTACTTCTTTTGTGTTTTATTGTTTTGTTTTCATTTTAGCCTTCCTTCACATTCTTTTCACTTTTGATTTTGGTAACCAAAATCTCAGAAGAGATTATTTCATTTTTGTTCCTCAAAATGAGGAATGAATTTTAATATGTTTTACAGGTTACATAGGAAATTTACCATTTTTATCCAGCTAACTTGACAATTTGCAAGCTACTATATAAATTGTCTACTTCAGAATAACTAAGTACCCCAAAATTTAGTAGCTTAAAGCAACAAACATTTATTATTTCACAGTGACTGTAGGTCAGGAATTTGGGTCCAGCTTAATAAGGTGTTCAAGGTCTTTCATAAGGTTTTAGTCAAGTTGTATGTAGTTAAGGACGGTGATCTCATCTGAATGCTGAATGCTTCCGTTTGGACTCACATGGTTGTTGGCAGGCCTATATTCCTTATTACATGGGGCTTTCTCTACAAGGTTGCCTCACAATATGGCAATACGGTTTCCATGGAGTGAGTGATCCACAAGAGAGCAACTAAAGTGGATGCCATAATCTTAAATAACCGAATGTCAGAATGGTATTCCATTGCTTCTGTCATAGTGTACTGTTTTAAGTAAATAAGTGCAACCCAAAATCAAGGGCAAAATATTCTACAAGGGCATGAACCCAGAAGGGAGGGATCACTGGGACTATATAGAGACACTATGAATCAGAACTGACTCAAAGGCACTTAACAACAGCCACAGATAGAGGAGGTTTAAACATTAAATGGTGCCATATGTAACTTAGTTAACCGATTAACATTCACATTATATTTACAGTCCTCTAGAGAATCGTAAAGGAACTTTGGTAGCATGATGAGTGACGATTTGGGCTGCTAACCTCAAGCTCAGCAGTTTGAATCTGCCAGCCACTCCTCAGGAGAAAGATGAGCCATTCTCTCCTGTAAAGATTTATAGCCTTGGAAACCCTATAGAGGAGTCACTATGAGTCGGAACCAACTCCACTGTACATAACCACCACCACAGATACACTGACTGGTAATGTTTAGGATTTAATAGGTAGGAATAACTTAGCAAAAATATGTTTAATAAAAGGAATGAAATCTAGGATTTAATAGGTAGGAATAACTTAGCAAAAATATGTTTAATAAAAGGAATGAAATCTAGGATTTAATAGGTAGGAATAACTTAGCAAAAATATGTTTAAAAGGAATGAAATCCAATGAGAAATGTGAAATTTTAAAGACGTAAATTTGTACAAGCTTTCTGTTATGAAAAATCAAATGTTGTTGTTGTTTTTTCTATTAATTATTTGAAGAGAGTCTTCTTCCTAATTTTTCTAGGAATCTTTGTTTGAGACATGATGTATTTAAGAAGAATCACATGCTGAAGAGTATATATTAAAACTGGGAACAATGCCCTCCTTATCCACTGCCATTTTATATGGTTTAAATTGGGTCAAAGTAAATGTGAGCAAAGATAGTTTTAAGGGGAACAGAAATTAAAAAAAAGATTTTAAGGCAAGTGTTGAAAGAATGCAGATTGATGACAGTTATTTTGGTGTAAAATTGAAAAAGGAATAGAGGGAAGAATGTCTTTGAATAGAAATATGTCTTGGATATCTCTTTTAAAGCATTATCAGTTGATGCATACTGCCTTATTTCCTTGTTGCCTGACTGCATCTCACCAGCACAGTTTTTGTCAATGAGCTATATAATATATACGCGTATTGTAGATAAATGCACAGGCTTCAGGGTTTGTTGGATTGTCAGTATTTTGGCTATGACCCAATGTAAAATTGTTTATGCTCCTTCGCTATTTGAAAGATTCTGTAAATCATTATCATTTAGTGAAGCACTAACTCAGGTTTATCTTTGATACATCAGGTGCTTAACAGTAACAGTTCTCAGAATGTAAATTTGGCTTTTAAATCAGTGGTACCTTTCATGTTAACACACTTCATTTAGAGTAGCTTATAGCCAATTTACTAATATAGTTCTGGACCTTCAATATCTGCAAAATTTTGAACAGATGCTTAAGAAAACTAACAGTTTAGTTTTTCCAATCACAAACTATTATATGGTAATGACTACTAGCTAAGTGCTGATAGAATAAGTACTGGGTTATGAACCCAAAGGTCAGCAGTTCAAACCCACCAGCAGCTCCTTGGAAACCGTATACAGGTTGGAACTTACTCTAAGGCACCTAACAGCATCGTCAGATTGTGCGATACAATTTATTATATATTATCACATTAGTGGTAAATAATTTTATGTGTTCACTGGACTTTTGTGTAGGTTAAAAGATAATCATTTTCTCCATTTCACAGTACGTAAACATGAATTACCAAGAAATAAATCTATTTTTTATCTATACCCATTGCTATAAAATTAGTTTTTTAAGTTTATGGGTGGTGCTGTGGGCTAATGTTTCAGACTACAAAACCTTTTGAACTGCAAACTCAGTGGTTCAAGCTCACCAGCTGCTCCTTGGAAACCCTATACAGGGTCACTATGGGTCGGAATTGACTCAACGGCACTTAACAACTTAACAACAATCCATTACTTAGAAAACTGCTAATGCTTTTGCAATGTATTTTATTTATTTTTTCTATTCTACATCTCACATGTAAGTAACATTTTGCTGCAAATTTAAAAGGTTGCTGCCACAAGGGTTGTTGTTGTTAAGTGCCGTCGAGTCGGTTCTGATTCATAGTGACCCTGTTTAGGGTCTCTGAGGAGCAGCTGGTGAGCTTGAACCACTGACCTTGCAGTTCAAACGGTTTTGCAGTCTGGTGCATTAACCAACAGTGCCGCACCAGGTAGCTACCAGAAATTAGAGTCAGAATTAGAAGTGAACTTGAAACTGAAGATATCAATGCTGATGTCAGATGGATCTTGACTGAAAGAAGATAATACCATAAGATGGTTGCTTGTGGTTTATTGACTTTGTAAAGACATTCAACTGTGTGGATCATCACAAACTATGGATAACATTGGGAAGAATAGGTATTAGAGTACACTAAATTGTGCTCATGAGGAACTTGTACATAGACCAGTAGTTAGAGCAGAACAAGGGAATACTGAATGGGTTAAAAATTGGAAAGGTATATGCCAGGGTTGTATCCATTTAGCACAATTATTCAATCTGTATGTTGAGCAAATAATCCGAGAAGTTGGATTGGTGGTGGTTATGTGCTGTGGAGTCAGTTCTGACTCACAGGGACCCTGTACAGGGTTTCTGAGGCTGTAAATCTTTATGGGAGCAGAAAGCCTCATCTGTCTCCCACAGAACAGCTGGTAGTTTCGAACTGCTGACCTTAAGGTTCGCAGCCCAATTTGTAACCACTATGCTACCAGAGAAGTTGGATTATAAGAAGCAAAGTAGAACATCAGAATTGAAGAAAGATTCATTAGCAACCTATGATAATGCAGATGACACACCTTGTTTGTTGTAAGCAAAGAAGAATTGAAATGCTTCCTGATAAAGATAAAATACTACAACCTTGAGCATTGATTGTACCTCAATGTAAAGAAAACAAAAATCCTCACAGCTAGACCAATACATATGATAAACAGACAAAATTCTGATTGCAGTTTTCAAAGACTTCAGTTTACTTGGATCTACAATCAACACTCATGGAAGCAGCTGTCAAGAACTCAAGACATACTGCATTAGGCAGATCTATTGCAAAAGACCTGTTTAAAGTGTTCAAGAGCAAAGATGTCAGCTTGAGGACTAAGGTATGCTTGACCCAAACTATAGTGTTTTCAGTCGCCTTATATGTATGTGTAAGTTGGACAGTGAATAAAAAAGACCATAGAAAAATCAATGAATTTGTATTATGGTATTGGCGAAGAATATTGTTAAGTACCATGCCAGAAAAACACAGACCTGGCTTAGAAGAAGTACAGTCAGAATATTTCTTATAAACAAGAATGACAAGACTTCACCTCACATACTTTGGATTTGTTATCCAGGAGGGACCAATCTCTAGAGAAGGTCATCATGCTTGGTAAAGTGGCGTGTCATTGAGAAAGAGGAAGAGCCTAAGATGAATTGAGATGGTGGCAACAATAGACCTCAAACATTACCACACTGTGAGGATGGCACAGGACCAGCCTGTGTTTTGTTCTGCTGTTAAAAGGATCGCTGTCAGTCAGAATTGACTCAACATAACAACAACACATCTCCTGTCAAATTTGGACACTGAAGTTGCTCTGTTGGGTGACCCATAAAAATACATTAGAATCATTAATATTAAA